GAATGCACAGAATGTTTGAAGCAATTTACATCAAAACAGAGTCTCAAAGAACATATGAAACTGCACACTGATTCACCATTGTTCCGCTGTTCGAAATGTCACCGAGGATTTGTACAAAAGGATGAACAAAAATTGCATGAAGAAAAATGCAATCGAAATGTCTATGAATGTTACATTTGTGGAAAATTCGTTGGATCACACAAGAAGAATTTGGAACAACATATGCGCGTTCATACTGGTAACAGACCATTCCACTGTCAACATTGTTCGAAACAGTTCACACAGAAATCCCATCTTAATGTTCACATGAAATCGCATACCAAGAAGCTGCCATTCAAATGTTCGATTTGTCATCATGGTTTTATGAAGCAAACGCAATGCAAAGCACACGAGCGAAGCTGTCGTCGGCGGTGTTATCATTGCTATATTTGCAAGAAGTTCTTTGGTGGAGACAAATCAACGTTGGAAAATCATTTGCGAACGCATTCGGGTGACAAACCGTTCAAGTGTAAGTTATGCCGAATTGGATTTGCAGCAAAATCAAACTTACCGGCGCACATGAAAACACTCATCCACAAACAGAATGAATTATTGACTTGATGAACAAAACAGACTCGAAAACTTGATTCAAAATGAGCCCAAAATCCAGTTATTTCTGACTGAAGAGCAAAACTAATTCAATCAATACGATTTTTTTCATTTTCTAATTTAATATTACATACCACATACTGACAGCTTCTGCTTTCAATTCTCTATCAAAGTTTAATACTGAAACAAATTAGTTTATGTCAAATTAAATACCTACTGAAATAGAATTGAAAATGAAATATACAACGTTTGGACAATCGTATTTGAATGCGATCCATTAGAATTCTAACATAACATATTAAAGAATACCTAATAATCAGTTACCTGAATTGCCATATTCGTTTCCATTTATGTATTTGAATGTTAAACTCTTTTTCATTGAATAAATCGATACACACCTTCATTAACCAGCGTATCCATTTTTAATTTTCAAATAGTTACTTTAAAATTCAAGATTCGCCACGATCTTTCATGATCAAGAGTAATTAGAAGCGTAAGTAATGGTGCTCTTTAAATTGAATGCGTTTTATTTCGAAATTCCTTCACCATATGGTAGTAGAAATATCGGCATTGTATGATAAAAATTGGCATTTACTTTAGATTATATCCAACAACCTAGATGGTTGTTCTTCTATTTTATTTTTCATTTCATAGTAAATTGGGACATATATTCAGACAATATATTTAGCTGCCGTCATCTGGATATTTCAGCTCATCTGGATGCCGTCAGCAGATGATGCGAAGTGAAAACAATAGAAGTGATTTTTATAGTAATACCAGTATATAACAAGCTTAAATACCTATAACAATCACTTCTATTGTTTTCACTTCATATCATCTGCTGACGATATCCAGATGAGCTGTAATATCCAGATGACGACAGCTAAATACATTTACTGCATATATTTGAATAGATTACAACGTTAACGATAATACTTGACGAAATAATTCTTAATTTCGAACCGCTGGGATAACTATGTCATCAGTTCGACTGAAGCAATGACTCATCGGATGGTTTGATTTATTCTAGTCCTGTGAACCTTCTCCCGAATTGCCAACTTTGACACCCTGGTCTGCTTTAAGACTCGCAATCTTGGAATAGAAAAGCAATGAACGAGACATTTAATGAAGACCGTAACATTTACCTAAAATATAGCATACTTACAAAAGCATTTCTCTCGTCTTTTGATAACGATGCCATATACTTGTTTCGCTGTGTCTTATACCTAAGGGGAGAACCACAAAAGAAAAGAATTAATTTAAAATAATCGAAAAATAATCGTAAAACAATCAATAATAATAAGTAAGTAATTTTTAAGTGATTTGCCCCTAACTTATACCTTTCCACCATTTGATTGTGTTCAGCTTTGAACTGCTTGAATTGTTTCTTCGTCAATTTTCCGAATGCCTTTTTTGCTTTGCTTGGCTTACCCTCATAAATATGCTTCACAAAATAGCTGAAAACGTCTGGCGGCGGTTTATTGCCGGGATGTTCGACTTTCGTCGCTTCCTTCTTCGGGCTTACACTGGCCGAACTGAGAGACTCATCAATACCATGGTGCTCATTGAGTTCTTCGATGGCTTTCTCTTTCACCTGTTTGCCGGATAAAGTAAAAAAAGTCTTAAATATCCATTGGCAGTACATTACCCTTTCATACTAAGAAAGTATGAAAAGTATTGAAAAATAAAATCAAAACTCACGGTAGCCTGTGGACTTTTTCCATTTGTAGAATCATCATCGATGTCATTTTCAACACCCTGGTTTGCTTCGATTTTTGTAACCTTGGACCCAAAAAAACAAGATATGAGACATGCATTTTAGCTCAAATATTGTACACTTACATAGGCAACAGCCTCCTCATTCGACAATGTCGCTATGTATCTTCCCAACATTGCGTTGAACCCAGCTTTGAATTGCTTGAGTTCTTCCGTCGTCAGTTTACCGAATTTCTTTATCGCTTTGCGTGACTTGCCGGTATGAATATACTTGGCAAAATAACTGAAAAGATCCATTGGCGGTTCCTCAGGTTTGGCATTTTTTGATTTTTCATCTTTTCTACCTTCCGTCTTCGGGTTGGCTTGGACCGATCTGGCAGACCCATCATTTCCGTCCATGGAATTGCATTCACCAGGAATTGTGTTCAATTTCTTCCCTTCTTCGGTCATCACTTCATCGTGTAAAGTAAATTTTGGCGATGGATTTTGTTGAATTTGTTCAGCATTTGTCTCAAATGAATCAAATGCATGGGCATTTGATAGTGAACTCCTTCGTTTCTTCTTCGGCTCTGGTTCTGATGTCATTTCCGCATGATCATCACCAAGTGGTCGTTCAACGACTGTCGCTCTTCTTCGCTTCACCTTTTGAGGCACAACAATACCATGGCGTTCATTGAATACCTTTTGTTCTTCGATGGCCTTCTCTTTTAACTATTTCCCCGAAGAAAGTAAATAAAAAATTGAATTTCTTAAAAAATAATTCGCAAAACGAAGATGAAGAGATCCAAACTCACAATAGCAGCGGCCTTTCTGTAAACTTCCTTCTTTTTTGGATCGATTGACCTCCATTGGAGTCCGATTTCAGGAATTGCACTCTTGGTGAGTTGACCGCCTTCCAATTTGTCCTTGACATACAGCGCATATGATGTTGGTGTGCTTTTGACTTCACCATTGTAAATTCGCTGCTCCTCTTTACTCAAAATGCTCAACACATTCTCCTATTCAAAAGACGAAAAGTCACCGTTCGATCATTTAGAATTCAGTCCAATGTAATGCAAACATACCGTTCCATTTCGAGATTTATTTACTGCTTTAATGATCCATTCGAATTTGTCATCCCGTGAAAGATTTGCATAGTTCTGACGTGAAGTTTTGTAGCTCTCCCCTTCGGACTTTCTACTTTCGGCATATAGTTGGAATGGTGTGGGCTTGTCATTCTTCGGAACGTTGACCGAACTATAAAATACAAATATTCACTTATTCAACCGCATTTTTCAAAATTTACATACAAAAACTCACTTCGAATTTTCTTTCTTTTGATTATATTCGGATCGGAGTTGTTCAGCCTTCTGTATATATGGGAGCATCGCTTCAGATGATAATTCGTTGTACTGGGTTGAAAATTTCTTAATTTTTTCCGACTATAAATGATGAATGTCATTAAAATTCGAAACCAATAAAATTCGCTATCAAAATTGAACTTACGAACTTTTCATCGGATTTGAAACGTGCAAATTTTTCTTTGACGAATAGTTGGTAGCTGCTTAGTGGCTTCTTTTGATCTCTCTCTTTTACGTATGTTTCAATGTCAGTGACAATTTCGTTTAAATTGCGCTGACGACGTACATGCTTCAATTGACTTCGAAAGCGCTCCTCACAATCTTTCGCGGTATAACTTTTGAATGCGACTTCATTCCAGTTTATTCGCTTTAGTCGCGTTCTATAGTTGACTTTGTCATTTGGATTTATCTTGGATTTTATTATCTGCATCAGCTGCTCATCGTCTGATGAGCTCCAGTCTAGGGGTGAAAATAAGGTTTTTTTGAGACGATAGATTGATAATTGTTCAAAATCTGTGGATCCATCATAAATTTGACTGATTTTGTTTGTAAAGGACTGACCATCGTTTGAGAGATTGTCACCGTTTACGTTTGGTGAAGCTTCGATGCGATCTTCATCATTGTTTTGGAGTTGCTCAATGTATAAATCAGCAGAATCTGTGGATCCAATTGGAGCCTGGGTGCGCTTTCTTTTCACCGCCTTCTTTGTACTATTCTAATCAAAAACGACAAAGTGAGGTTAGACACAAATATGAACACATTGGTTTTGATGACGATAAAACACGAAAATTCAATTTCATTCATTTTTTCTTTAAATCTATTTTCATTTTAGCGACATATAATCTGATGGAAACCAATCGAAATCACAATGTTTTGACACCGATGAGTTCCAGAAAAGTAAAATTTTATGACACTGTTCAATATCGAATCGATGAAAAGTAAAAATTGCTTGAAGTTAATACATTTTCCAAATAAAATTTGCACAAAACAACTCACTTTTTCCATTTTTACGACGATATTTTTTGGTACAATACAAAACAACCACAATGCTTTGATTGATATTTGATTGATAGGAGCGCGTTGTGTGCCGTATTTAGTTGTGTGCAATATTGTGTGAGTATGGTTGCGCCAAATGTCAAAACGATGACATGAAAGATACATTCCAGTCGTTATAGCATTGGAATTATGGGAATTTGATCATTATTTATTTATTTTAATTTTGTTTGTTTTTTTGCAAATATTTACTTAAAAAATATGGCGAATTGTTTAAAAGTCATATGTTAGCTTGTAAACTTGTGCCACATATCAGCCAAGGAAAAAAACGCCGTAAAGTCAAGAGAAAAGCATCCATAAACGGATTGAACGAATCTAAATCACAATATCCAGTTATTAGTGATGAAACACAAAAATGAATTAATTGGTTTGATATCAATTTAATCGAATTTCATAAATTATTCAATTTAATATTCATACTTAATACATTAATAGCATCTGATTTGAATTTTGAGCTTATGCTGAATTCAAACACCGATGGAATTGTTATTGAAATAAACACCTTTTGATCAATAAACTTTTTGGCGTTTAAATGCAAATTGTACAACCATTTGATTTTCCTTCATTTTACAGAAGAAGTGATTATTTAATTCAATTGCTTATTGTTTCAAAAACTTGAGCCGAAATTGTCTCTTTCGTGTTTCATTAGCGACATCTATGCTATCAAATGTTGAGCCAAACTTATACATTTGCGAATTGCACAATTGAGAGCGAGAGAAAGAGAGAAATAAGCTTGCACACAAACACTGAAGCCACCATATTTTCTTTATTCTGAATAGCGTCCTCCTGGTGTCGACGATAATTACGTGACGAACCACAAACAGCGATGCAATGATTTGTTGAGTTTGGCAGCCATTTTTCTATCGATAACAATTGAAAATTATTTTGAGCTGCAATTTAATTGAACGCGAGATTTTTTCAACATTTCCTAAAACAATAAACGATTAAAGTGAATAAAACAGTCCAAAATTGATTGAAATCATATATTTGTGCAGAAAAACATGCGGAATAAAAAGAGGTAAGTCATTTTGGATGACTCATTAGTTTTCCAACTGTATTGTAGTTGTTGTAATTGCAAATTGCATAACTAAGCATCATTTGTTCCAACGTCTGTTCAATAGAATCAATTATAATTCACAATTACATTGATTTTCCATTTTGTGGAATATAGTGAACAAAAAAACGAGATACAAAAAATCTAAAGTATTTCACGTTAATTATTTTCTAGGCGAAATATTCACAAAGGTACGTCGAAGAACGTTTCAGCGACAATGGGCGAAAGCAGCACTCAGTGTATCATCGATCCATCCGAAATCAAACAAGAGATGGACATCAAAGAAGAACTACAGTCTGTTGGCGTATTGATTGACGTTCCGGCAATGGATAACAGAAACACTGGAGGTGTGCTTGATTCCAACGAATATCCCGTCGAATATGATTTTGAACAGTTGAATTTTGACGAGGTTAAGGCCGAAGTGAAGACAGAGACCGAAGAAAAGAAAGAAGGAAATTTGAAGAAGAGCGGCAACTTGGCAGACGATCGAGATGATGGTCATCAAAATCCGATGCAACAAACACAAGCTGAAGACAATCCAGCATCGATGGACGTTGGCAATGAAGCAAACAACACAAAGAAACAAAACGGTGAGACAATTCGAATTGAGGGTAGGAAGAAACACAAGTGTGAACAATGTGAATACTCAACTCAACTCAAATCCAATTTGAACAGGCATATGCTAAAACATACTGGCGAAAAGCCATTTGGGTGCGATTACTGCCTAGGGGCTTTTATCTTCAAATGTATACGATTTATACTCTAAATAGTGAACTATATTGCAAAATCATCTGTAATACGCGCAAATAAATGTGCATAACTGCATATATTTGGTGTATATTTCGTATATATTTCGTCTATGGCATGTTTTTTTGTTCTCTTTTGTGCGGATCTTCTTCGATTCTGTGTAGCAATACTGTGTGTGTGTGTGTACACTGAAGTTTGAAATACATCTTATTCACTGGTATAGGCGAGAAATTTTAATCGTATATATGATGAATAGGACGTGAATATTGTGTATAAATTTGTATGAACGAATGATGAAAGCCCCTAGATTACTGCGCAAAACGTTTCACATCAAAGCGAGCTCTCCAGAGTCACAAGAAAGCTCATGTTAGAGAGTTTTTGTTCCATTGCGATGTATGTTTGGATGGATTCGACAACAGAGATGAAAAGTTAGAGCATCAGGCCAATTGCAAGGCACTCCGTTATGAATGCCATATTTGCAAGCAGTCTTTTGGATCAAAGAAAACAGATTTGTTTGCTCATATGCGTGTTCACAGCGGAAACAAACCATTTGAATGCACAGAATGTTTGAAGCAATTTACATCAAAACAGAGTCTCAATGAGCATATGAAACTGCACGCTGATTCACCATTGTTCCGCTGTTCGAAATGTCGCCGAGGATTTGTACAAAAGGATGAACAAAAATTACATGAAGAAAAATGCAATCGAAATGTCTATGAATGTTACATTTGTGGATCGATTAATAAGAATTTGGAACAACATATGCGCGTACATACTGGTAACAGACCATTCCAATGCCAACATTGTTTGAAACAGTTCACACAGGAATCCCAGCTTAATGTTCACATGAAATTGCATACCAAGAAGCTGCCATTCAAATGTTCGATTTGTCATCATGGTTTTATGAAGCAAAGGCAATGCAAAGCACACGAGCAATTCTGTCGTCGGCGGTGTTATCATTGCTATATTTGCAAGAAGTTCTTTGGTGGATACAAAACGTTATTGGAAAATCATTTGCGAACGCATTCGGGTGACAAACCGTTCAAGTGTAAGTCATGCCGAATTGGATTTGCACAAAAATCAACCTTAACGAGACACATGCAGAGCCGCATTCACAAACAGAATTCCCACTGAAATTGATTTCGAAAAAAAAAAATCAAAAAATAGAATTAATGAACTATACATAAGCACAAACTTAATCTCACTTGAACCCACATCCACTTATTATAACTGATGAAACACAAAAAATGATTCAAATCTCTGAACAATTAATACGTTTTTTTACATTTTCCAATTTAATAGCATTTGTTTTGAATTCTCCATGAATTAGTTTAAATCAGATTAAATACCCTTTTGAAATATAATTGAAATTGAAATCAATAACAATTTCTCCCATTCAATACTAATTGTAAGTTATTTCATTAAATTGGCAGTTGTCTCTTATCAATTCCAATCGATTTCAAATTCGCGTTCAAGACAATTTGAAATCCAAATTACATTTACTTTGTTCTTTAAATAAGACTACCAATAAATAAAGTCCTGAGCTAATTCAAAGTTCCTTCCCGTCTTCTTTTATTTCTTCAGACGTTTCTTTCTGAATTTGTGTCACAACCTACTTCAAATTTATAAATAAATCAAAATTAAATTATTTTGTTTTGATTTGATTACCACACGCAATAAAACGGCCACTATCCCGTCATGTTTCTAAAAGAGTTGAAATATTTTTCAACCAATTAATGAAGGGAAAAAAACTTGGAAATGAAATAAATTAATATAAGAAAACATTGAATTTACACCGATAAAACTTTAATTTATTCTGTGAAAACGGCCGAAAATGGATTAAACTTAAATGCGATGAACTTTGAATGTAAACAAAAGACTTGAAACCTCCAATTCGAAAAATCACATCTTTTTCATTTTATAATGAAAACACGCGTATCTTTGCATGATTTAGTTTCAAAATAAACATTCTATAAATATTAATATTCTCTATACGTACCTTATACAGAGCCGTCAGAAAGTTCGAGACCAAGAGCAAAATCATAGGACAAGTATAGTTGTCAGACATTCAATGGCGCTGTATCTATCCTATAAACATCGAACTAACAAAAATGTGTGGTGGTTCATGTCTTATTTAATATACAATAGTGGAAATGTATCCAATGCACAAACCATTTCTTCTAGTTCCTCTTACATAAATGTAGGGGGATTCTTCTAAAGTTGAGAGAATGACGCATGGCCTGAAAATGCCTATGTAATTTACATATAAACGAGTGAGACTCAAACATGTTCTTCTTTTTCCATGAAATATACCAGGAGCGCCACCAATTTTACATATAAGCGCTTACAAAATTTTCAATATTGCTGCGCCCATGAGAGAGAAAATTTCGTCTCATTCATTTCTACCCCATGGAATGACGTTTGCATATAAATACATGTAAAAGACACTTTTAGGCTCGTCCTATGAGCAAAATTTTCATTTCTTCAAAAAAAAAATGCTATTATTTCCATTCGAATTGCATTTATTTTGATTTTAAACTAATTTTCAGGAAAAAATACATGAAAATGGCCGATTGTTTGTATGAATCAAATTGGCAACATCTTCCTGTTAAACAACAAAAATATTTAATCCTTATGATTGGCAATGCACAACGACCACTTTATTACCATGGACTACGTCTCACTTTAAAATTGGAAACATTCACCAAAGTAATTGAAATTAAAGTTTCTTTTTCTATTAGATTTTGATGTCTGATTGTTTTAGACGCTGAAAATGGTGTTTTCGTTTTTTGTGACGTTTAAAACCATTTCAATACACTAAATTGATGGGCTTCTGTTATTTCGCTCAGTTTTAAGGTACATCGATAAATTAAATAATAAATATTAACTAATTATTATTTAACATTTCTTATGTTGAATTTGTTTTGTTTAGAATTATTTTTGTAACTCAATGTCTCGCAAACACGCAACTTTAATAGCCCACTTAAAAATAAATTAGGAAAATACGAGTGATCGGGGTTCTCTGAATGCCGTATACTGCGTAGAAGATTATAAACGACTCTATATCAAAAGAGAAACCGAGAGATTATTAAACGGTGATGATAATCTTTCAATCGGTTTGTTTCGCATATATTTGTTTTTTTAGTCTCTCCGTCAGTTAAAATCGATTTAGAACTTTGATTCTTGTTTTTACGAGAATTCCAAGTGATTTTTTTACGAAATAACTTGTTTTTGTTTACAATAAATAAATAAATATGTTGGATTTCATAATTTTTGACCTTGAAAAAAATCATTTTTGAAATTATTGTTAGAAATAAATGAATGATCATTGATAAATGTACACATTTTATGAAAAATAAATAAAAGACCCCCAATTTAACGTAATATCACTTTTTTTTCCAACGGCCGACGAAAGTGTAGTTATAATTGTTATCAACATCGCACTTTTTTTAAAATCTTAATCAGTTTTTCGTCAGAAATACAGTAGCCCGTCTCTTTTGACGAAAAATGAAATAAATTATCGTGTATTTTAATTTGTTTTCAACATATTCGTTTCATATTCTATCTAAAAAAATGAATTTATTTGTGTCTCAGTGATTAAGGTTCAGGTCATTCTCATTTCAAGGTTTTTTTTTCTAGATTGAGTCTACTTCACAGACGATTAAATCTCATTTTTTGCAGTATATTAAACTAAGTTGGTTCTTATTGCTTACTACCAATTTCCGTCGAACACCTAAAACTAAATCCAATTTAAGCCATTGTTTGCTTGAAATTTTCCTTCTTTTACCATTTTTCGCTAAACGATGGAACTCAAAAATTTAAAAATTGAATAAGGTTTTGTTTAGAAAGATTCATTCGAATTCATAAAACCTACTCACGTAGCAAACTATGATAAAGACGCTAATTTTGTTTTAATTCTTCTATGGGTATATGTGGAAAAGCCTTGTTTGAATTTTTTCAAATGTAGATATTTATTAGAATATTCAAAACGTTTGACAAATAAAAATATCAAAAAAATCAGTTTATATTATCTTAAAATAAAGATCGTAAATTGTTAAATGGCAACAAATGCTGCGAACGTTGTCCAAATAACTAATTTTTCTTCGAGCTCAAAAATGGTTTTGATCGTTTCCATAGCTGGTTTGCCAATTATAATTTCCTTCGTCAGCATACGAATTGAATAATTGCTTGAAGTGACATTTGCTACTAAAACTAACAGAAAATGTGGGTACCGTAGTACTCTCCATACCGTTTGAATTTGTTACATCTTTCATGATCGAATCCTCACCGTTTCTACACAACGAGTCATCTGTGTCATAATATACTCCGCCATTATTCAGCATTTCAACGAAATTAGTGACACTTAATGGGCTTTGCACTGGTGAAGTTGGCGTGATTGAATACGATGAACCGAAACTTATTGACTGAGTCGGTGAATGTTGTAGGGTTGGAGAGGTGAACATATAACTTCGAAACCCATTCAAACCAGATGGATTTTGGGAGTAAGTTGCGACCGGAGTATTTTGAACAAGAGTTTGTGTATCTTCCGTTCCATAAAATAATTTTAAAAATTTATATTTCTCAGTGTTCACATCTTTTCTGGTATTCGATTTTTCATAGAAACTATGAAAAGCTTGATCTTTCGGAGTGCCATCACATAGATATGTGCATAGTTCTAGACTGCGAATAATATCAGTGAATGGAATATGTTCAAAATTGCCTTTTGAATGATTTTTTGTTGCAAAATTTTCGATTAAAATTGGTCCGACTCGATAGATTTGTTTCATGCCATTTTCTGGATTGCATTCGACCCCAATGATTGTTATTGCGCCTGAAGATCGAAGAAAATGATAAATCTTTGTTTAAAAAAAAAAATCACATAGAAAATATTCGATTTAAAAAAAAACTTACCAGGCACACTATCCGAAAACCGCAGCAAAAAAGTACCAATGCGGTAGTCGAGAAGTTGATTCAAGGCTGTTTCGTTCACAAATCCATGGACGAGACCTTTTTCCCATAAAGGTTTGATGTGATCTCGTACAATTTTCATGATTTCGTAGAACCATTCCCAAAATGAAAAAATGTTGTTTGCTTTAACGATATTTTTGTATCTTGATTTACAAGATGGTTTCCAAAGAAAATTTTCACCGTCGATAATTTTGTCTTGCGAAGTCTTCGCATCTGTAATCGATCATGAATATTCAAGAAATAACATTTTGGACATTTTATCGAAAAAATTTCTTGAAAAAATGTGATACTCACGTAAAGCATACAAATGGCCATCATTCAATTCGCAGCCGGTTATATTTTTAAAAAATATTTTTAAGACAACACACATCTTGGACCAAGGAACTGATTGGTTTTTAATTCGATCGATATCTGAAAAATGTTTGTCCCATATATTGGCAGCGTTGGCCATTGCCTCTTGATTTTTATGTACAATTACGAAAATGGACCGCGAAATTATTGAAGCCTGGAAAAAAGTAACAAATCAGTCATTGTTGGACATGTAAAATTGAGAGTCATTTACTCACGGTGTATTTTATTTTAAAGATTCTCAAATTAAGGCAATACTTTAAGACATATCTATTTTCAATAACGCTCCCTTTATCTCGAATTCGTTCTAAACCTTCACACACTTTTAACTTATCATATTTGGAATATACGTCATGTTCATTTATTTCGAATTCAAATTTTGGTATATTTTTCATTTTGCCGGCACATTCCTCATTCTGGAAATGGGGAGTGATATTGTGATCTATATAAAGATGGAAAAATTTATCATAATTTGAACCATAGCGTTACAAAAACATAACTTACGAATCGTGACGAACAAAGCACTGATGTCCAATTTGTTCAATGTCAGCAATATGCGAATTTTTGACGAAAAACTAAAACATTATAATACTTAATGTTATTTCAATAAAATCTCTGGAGAAGTCATTCTAGATGATTCAATTGGTTAATTAATTGGTGTTAAAATGGTGACTAAAAAGTCCGCATTTAAATTTAATTCGACTCAGTCTCAACCAAAATTGTTTCTCTGAGAAGGTGGAGGAGTGAGCTGGGGAGGATCTTTTTTTGTGCTCTCCCCCCCATTTTCATCCTCACTATTCCTCCTTCTCAGAGGAAAAATTCCAGGTCTCAACCAAAAACACTCACTTTGTTTCTGTTTTCACAATTTCGGGTGGTTGTTGCTCCAATACCACAGTCAAATTGAGCAACAATCCAAGGCTGTGTTTAATTTGTTTAAATTCATCATTGCAGCATACTGGATCGCGCAATCGCATGTTCTCTATCAATTGGCATGTATCGCAAATGACCGCCCTTATGTCATCGAACCACACTTGCATTTCGACAAAAGCAGCACTGCTCTCATTCGACCAGCTTTGATCTTTATTCGACTCAATGAAATAATCACGACGAGAAGAAATCTTTTGTATTACGTAATTCAATGACTTATTGAAATGTTTGAGTGAATTCATCATTTCCGTGCTAAGCTTTCGAATATTGTGTTCCCATCTTGGTTCGTCTTTCAGCAATTTCCAGCAATATTCATATCGTCGAAATGCACTTTGATGACACATATTTAGCATAAGCAACCATTGAATATCCGCATCGATTGGCGTCAGTGCGGCAGTTCCATTTGCATACATGTTTCGTTCGAACGCGAATTTTTTGTTAATTTTCGCATAAAAATGTTCGGCATATAATTGCATCATTTTATTCAAATCCTCAAACCAATACTTGAATATTGGATCATCCGTTTTCAAATCGAGCTCAATTGACATGATTTCATAAGACGCCTGATCATATTGAATTGGTGGTGTATTGTTGTTGACCGTAACATAGCTCGGATTTAATATTCGTACACCCAATTCGAATTTATCTACATACAATCTTTTTACGCAATTATATGTCACTTGGGCGTATTTTTGATTCCACAATTCGGACATGTTTCGTATGATAATGATTATCAAAAGTTGAAAACGGAATAAAATTAGGACACGTCAATGTCAAATATGATTCACATAAAATTAAAAGCACTTTTTTTTTGAAACTTTGATTACTTTTTTACAAATCGAAAACTATTCCGTTTAAATTTTTGAAAAATTACAACAAATTGAAAGTTTGATACAAAGATTCGCTTAAGCCAAAGAGAGTTCGCAGTTGTGTAGAGATTAAGATTCACTGTGATGAGCGATAAGAAACCCGATTCAAAATAAACGAAGTCAAATGAAATGCTGAAATTGCGCGAGTGAACAGTAAAAAAAAACGTCGGTCTTGCCTCAACAACAGACGATAGAAGACTGTTTGAATGATTATTGCAGAGCATGAAAATCATACTTATAAAGCAACACACTCACACTAACACAAACAATCATTAAATCACGTACATATGAGCGGTTTTTGTGTGCACTTTCGTTGTTATCTTTTATATTTATTTTTGGACATCATACACATTATACATATTCTCCGAAATTCGAAAAAATCACATATTATTCTCTACACTTCTTTTATTTTATATTTGTTTTCTGAAAATATTGAGATTTTTATAAATTATTTTTTTAAATTGCATGGACATGGTTGGTTAATTAAAGACTTGAAACTAAACTTGACGAGCACAAAAAATCCTCACTTCCAAAAACCCATTCTATTTATCGTAAATTCTACATTGTTGATTTCATTTGCCTTAAATTTGTCCCATGTATGGTTCGTGACCTACTGTTCGGGCTTGATAATCCCGGATTATCCATAATCTCCGTTAAGTCGCAATTTCAAAAGTGTGACATCTTTTTGAGTTGTGTCAAATGGAAAAATTTGATTATTATATTAGGACGGACGGACACGGACATTTGTGTGAACGGACATGAATTGTCCGTTTTGAAGTTTTACATTGAATCTTCTTTAAACGAATGGATAAAATTCAATACAATTTATGTCCGGACGGATGGACACTTTGTACGTTTAACACATTTATTTTTGACTTTTCGTTTATTCGCACAAATCCAAAAATGCATGCTGGTGACGACCACTTTCAATCTATTGCAAATATCAATCAATGAAATTGGAGAAAAACATCATAATTTTAGCGATATTTTTGAAATTTATGTGATTTCCGTGTTTTCGATTGTACTTCAGGATATCCGTTCCATGTAAAACAAAATTCAATCGAACGGTAATGAATAGTTCCGAAAAAACGAAAATGAGTAGTTCTGATTAGAAGAATGTGTGCAAGTCCCACTTACATTTGACTTTTTGAAAAAAGCTCTACTACTGGCACCATCTCTTTACACAAAATCTAAGTTATAGATTTGTTTGTGTATTTCTCAATTGTAATTTAATAAATTGTTCAATTTTTTTAAAAACATTTAAGTAATAAATAATTTTTAAAATGATATTCAATTTAAAACACAATAAAATAAAATAAAATAGAAACAAAACAATACACAAGAGAGAGAAAACAGTGGAATGAAAACAATCAATGTTGTCACTCACACGAACGTTTTTCTACACGAACAGTAGAATGACAAAAACCGAAATGAAGTGCACATGTATTCGCATGTATTTGAATATTGATTGTTGAGCGTCGCTACATACATGCACAATGCGCATAAGCAAACGAATCAACGTTAAGAATTTTGAACATGTGATCCAATGAGAGCAATGTTATTCGCACAAATACATGAGCATTTCACTTTGGTTTATGTCATCACATATACCGGCTGTCAACGATGAGCATGTAAACAAATTGTCATTTTGTATGGTACTTTGTTTTGAGATTTTATATTAAATTAAATTTTTTTCATCAATAAAATTGCTAAGTGTGCTCGATTAATTTTAAGTGAAATTTGCAATCAGATTTTAAATGCTACGAAATTTCACGTCGAAAGAAATACATGCTCTACGCTATGTGTATATATTTATATAATTTTTTTTGTAATGAAGAGAAGACCGAATAAAAAGGCGTTTCATATGACTTAAATTGGCGGTAGTAAACCATAAATATGTATATAATAACTGTTGTGACTTCTATAATTCTTCTCTTTGATTTTGTTGACATTTTTTATTACCAGTTATTAAATTACAATTCAACGCAACTAAAATGAATGTAAATATGCGATTTCTCTCAAACTTGAGAAATACACAAAAACTTTTATTACTTCAACGTCGTGTATAGAGATGGCGCCACGTTGAGCGGAGTTCGGCAGAATAACACAGAAGCCCATATAATGCTAGTCAGGGTTGAATGTGTGTAGTTCAAATGTTAATTAAAATTTTTAAGTCTGGAGTCTAGACTCTGGATACGGATATGAAAGAATGTTGTTCGTTTGTGAGCATAAAAACAACGACCGACACGACTATCACTTTTTTCGTCACGAAAAAACCCTCGTAAAAGTAACAATTTTAAAGTCCCTTGTTGGAAGCATTAGTGTGTGAAGCACACATGGCATAATTAAAGCCAATTGACATCAACACGCACCAACATGTTCCTGTAAAATGCGCAATAAATTGTCCCTGTTTGGATTTCATCCCTCACGCCCGCAGATCTGGAAAATTCTCTCACAACATTGACAAAAGCGTGGAGTGAGCACTGTTTCGATTGATGGCTCCTTTTCGCTCCCTTTCCCGTGTGAAACATGTTTTCCTGTGAGAGATTTGAATTTATATATATAATTAAGTAACTGACAATTAACTTTCAATTGAGTTTGCGTTTCATTAAAAACACGGAATCACATTATTTTATTCAAAGCACGAATTAGTTTGGTTTCTGTTGTCCGCAGTTGATGTTCAGGAAAATATGAAGCCATTGTTAACAAATCAACGAATTTTGACAGTGTTTGGTGTATTTCCAGCCAATGAAACCACCAAAATGAGATACAAATTAATTTATATTCTCATTACGTTCGTGGTTTTGCTATTATTTCTCACTGCAATATTAGCGAGTTTTGTATTTTTCATCAAGTATATTCGAATTGACTTCAAAGAGTCGTTAAATGCGATGTTTCAAATCCTCGCTCTTTTTTGTGCTGCGATGTCAATTGTCATTATTATCTTTTCAAGACGAAATTTATCGAAAATGTTTGAAAATTTGTCGAAAATCTATAGAGAATGTAAGTAGATCCTCTTTTGAAAGTGAAGGAAAACTGTTGAAAATGGGGAATTATCTAGGTGAGCATGGGGATTCGTTCAAGTTTTTGGTTCGAGCGAACGAGACGAGTGAATGGATGTGGCAATCCTATCTGAAATATGTTGTCGGAGGTTTTTCCGCCAATATTGCCGTATTCCTCATATGTTCCGCCCTATTTTCCAAAATAAACTACGGAATTTTCGACACAAAAACCATGTACCATCCATATAAAATAGTGTAAGATTGTATGATTTACGGTCAATATAATGAAATTTAATCAAATTTTAATGAAACTAATACGATTATTTGACAGTTTGCCATGGAGCAAATACACGATGTTTGGCTACTTGTGTCAGATAAGTTACGAAATTGTTGTAGCGGAAGCTTATTTCATCTCAATTGGAATATTGCTATTGCTGTTCATTTCATTGTGTTTGCACCATCGTGCATTTCATCAAATGTTTCAACAATGGCTAACCGATTTGGATACATTGAAATCAGATCAAAATTGCAATGATTTTTTTCGGAAGCTGCACTTTTTTCACAGCACCATCAAAAGGTACAGCCAAACGACAAATGAAAAGCCAAAATGTATATATATATTTGCGTATATTTGCTCTTTTCAGTTGGTTTTTTCAAACATCTGAAATATACAGTCCCTATGTTATTGTTGTTTTGACGTGTAGCACGTTTTCGTTGGCCAGCAGGATTTTCCTATTAAATTTGGTAGTTTTTTTTACCCAATTTAGTTGGAATAATCCTCTAATTTTTAAAAATAATTTCAGCAATTGAAACATACCGACTTTAGCATTGGAACCGTTTTAATATCAGTTGCGAGCAGTGTATGGGGTCTTCTTATGTATTCTTTCTTCGGGAAAGTGGCAACAGATAGCTTCTATGGAATGGCCGATTGTTTATTTGAATCAAATTGGCAACTTCTTCCTGTTAAACAACAGAAATATTTGATCCTTATGATTGGAAATGCACAACGACCACTTTATTACCATGGACTACATCTTGTCATTTTGAATTTGGAAACATTCACCAAAGTAAATGAAAATTGACTTTCTTTTATTGGATTTTGATGTTTATGTTTCATTCTAGGCGCTGAAAATGGTGTTTTCTTATTATATGGTCATCAAAACCATGGTAGATTGAATACTTTTCAAAATTCACATTTTAACAGTCGAATATTGATTTTTAGCCCCTCGTGACTCTTTTGACATTTCTTCGAACTGACAGGATTTTTATGAATAATGTATTGTTTGACTTACTAACTAATGACATACATGAATACTTGAATAAAATAATTGAATTGGTAATTTACAAGTTTGGTTTTGAATTATTTTTAAAATTAAATTGATTGGAACACGCGAATTTGATCAATAATTAATTAAGGCTTTACAGCAGCCAAAGACTCTTTTTAATTCGAATTCAAAACGAACATCGAAATACATGAAGTTAATTAACTTCTTAAGAAATGAGAGAAGAGAAGATTAAATGCGCGAAATGAATATCGAAATGCGAGAAATGATCATCGAAATACTTTCTGCTTCTAAAAAGTACATCAAGACGAAATTTGAAAAATGATTGGAATTCAAATGCGAGAAACGAAATAGGTGTATATTATTCCTTTTTGCGCTTTTACTAATTTAACGTAAACGATCTTCAGTGATCTTGATTTGTTTCTTGATAATGCATAAATGTGAATTTGTTTGTAACGTCTTTACCTTGATAAATATTTATTTCTGTCCAGGAAACTGGACGTCAAAAGGCTTTTGTCTGCGTTCTGCAACTTGAAAAGGCAAATAAAAAAAATACTAAAGATATCGCTAGCAAACACAAGTGATATCATACAAAGATCATTCAAACCGCTGAAATGATATAATAATATCTGATGTGAAAACAATGGAAGTCACCCGAATGATTGATGTGTACAGTATAAAACAAATTCAAGTCTTTTTTCTTGTTTGAAATTTTTCGATATAAATATAGTGTAACGAATGAATATGGAATCATAGCTGTTTTCATTTGTTAGCTAATTTATGGCAGAAAATAAATAAATTAGCCAAAATGAAGTTGACTTCGTTCATTTTGTTTTGTATTGTGAATACGATTGCTGGTGAAACAGAAGAGAGTAAGTCAATTCCGAAAAAAATTTCAGTTAAAGTTTCTAAAAATGTTTTTTTTTTACTTTAAACACTGCCACACCACTTGACATGTAAATATCTAAATGATATTTTGTGGTTTTTCATTTAGTCGATGAGATATCATCGCGTATTGTCGGCGGTAAAAATGCAACCAGTGATCAGGCACCGTGTCAATGTTCGGTGCAAAGATACAGCCAACATACGTGTGGCTGTGCAATAATTTCAGAAAATTGGATACTCACAGCGGCTCATTGTGTTGGAGGGTATTAGAATACATTTTCATTCTCATTTCTCTAAAAATCAATGGCTTAATTTCTTAGGTCCACATCAAACATTGAAATTTTAGTTGGCACCAATGACTTACAGTCGGGCGGTACACGCTTCACACCCGAACGATTTATAATTCACGAAAGCTATGATCGACCGCGACGCATGCAAAATGACATAGCGCTGATAAAAATGGCAAAAATGCAATTTAATTCAAATGTCAAACCTATAAAATATTCGACAAACTTTGTTAAGGACGGTGCTCAACTCCAAGCTACTGGATGTAAGTTATTTCAAATGTTAGTCGATTTGTATGAAATTTAGCAAAATATTGTATAAGTATTGTTTGTTGAAGGGGGGCGATTGAGCGTAAGTAAAATCTAATTTGTGCCACAAAAAAGAGGAAATATTTCAATAAATTTTCACATAGGCAAATGGCAATATTCCAAGATTCTTACAAGTTGTCAATTTGAAAGCGATATCCAATCAACGGTGTAGACGATTTTACAGAAATACAGTTTTCGATGGAATTTTGTGTACGTACACCAAAGTTGGTGAAGGTGTTTGTAACGTAAGTATTAGAATTGGGATTATATGGCGTTCGAATTGTTAACACCTAATTTATCTCATCAACTCTGGCAGGGAGATAGTGGTGGCCCCATTGTAATGGGCGATGAACTTGTCGGTTTGACCAGCTTTGCTGTGTTGTGAGTTATTTACATTCGATTTTCCATCCATAAAATTTCATTTAATATATGTGTGCTTTTGTTGAAGATGCGCCAAGGGCTATCCTGATGGTTTTACGAGAATTTCGCATTACTTCAATTGGATTCAAATAAACATCGAGAAAGCGACATAAATGAATTCGAAGGAAAATAATGTTGAACACAAAAATCCGGAAATAAAGTTACTTTTGAAAGAACAAAAAAACTGTAATTTATCAGACATATGATACGTATTTGTCAAAGCTCTTTTTTTCGTATAGCTGCGTCATTCATGAGAAAAAATGTTGTTGTTGCGATGGATTTGTATATATCATTATACCAGGTATGCAAAGAATTAATCACTCATAATTGACCTAGTGATTTTAATAATAGCGTAGCGCATTCAAGCTTCTTAAAGTGACTTCCACCATGCACACGATTCAATTCCATAATAGAATGTTACAAACCAAAATGTCACTCATTATTTCTTGTCGATAATTGTGTCGGAAATTCCGTTTCGGAACAGCTTTTATCGGTTCTGAAAGTTATGAGTATGTTATTATTCGACTTTGATTTCCGCTTTTGGACAATTTACAATTCAAATTAATAATTAAATAAATTTCTAAGCTTCCAAAATTTCATTCCAAATTAATTTTAACAATTTCCCACACTAAGTGCGCGGAAAGGTAATATTGAAGTCATCTATATTCGAATTAAGAATGGATACCGCGAAACTATGAAATTATGTCATGACCCATGACTACCTTCAACGAAAACTTTTCAAACATAAGATTGAAAATTAAAAAAATTACATCTGAAATTATAGTTTCGGAAATTTTCTTTATTATTATGTAGAAAATGCCTATATGGATCCTTATTAAGTAATGATGAGATTCTTATAGGTGCGTGTCGTTGGCTCCCCTTATTATTTTGTATCACGACAATTT